TTTTCAAAACGATTTGACTGCCTACAACAGAACTGCACACTTCCTACACACACACACACACACACACACACACACACACACACACACACACACACGTCTATAGCACAGAAAAACGGAATGCACACAAAGGCACATGCAACACATTAAGTGACTACCAACATAATAATTTACCGTCAGCCATCTATTAAAATGTACCACGTCCAATTTTTTTTTTAAAAAGAAATCTACTGCAGTTGCAGTTTCTTAATGTGGTATTGAAAAAAATAGTATTGAAGGTGCATATGGGTCAAAGAAATATTTTGTTGAAATTCTGAATTCTAAATATAAAATTAAAAACAAAAAAACAAAAATAAAACAAGAAGAAATGTATAATGTAGAGACTCAGGCAATTGTTGAAAGTATGAAACTGGTTGGGTTTTTTTAGTTCCTCTTTGCACTAAAATTTGGGACAACTGTCATGTTAAAAGAATGAAACAATTGGGTTTTTTTTTTATTCCTCTCTCCACTAAAATGTGGGACAATTGTTCAAAGAATGAAACATTTCTTTTTATTATTCCTCTCTCCATTAAAATTTTGCTTTTTGGGCTTTGTACAATTTAATAGCTTGCCAATGATATGTTCTACACTAAGCTGTCCCCGTCGTTTTATGCAAGAAAATTCTTAAATTAATCAAACTGAGCCCAAAAATGTGAAATTATGCGATTCTGTTAATTTTAGCAAAGAATGATAAAGGAAAATAATCAGAAATTAAGCCCAAAATGATCAAATTTTGCTAAATTATGTGGTGCATAAAACCGTGGGGACAGACTAAGTCAATAAGACATCTAGTAACATGTTAACACGGGTACATAGCGGGGTATCTGTCACATCAGCTGTTTCTGGTTTGGTAGACACCCGGGCTAATGACTACAATAGACTTGATAGTCTGTTTTGTTTTAGTAAGCATTTTACAGCACTTGCAGCACAAAAAGCGTTGGTAGTCTGTTTTGTTTTAGTTAGCGTTTTACAGCATTCGCAACACAAAAAGGGTTGGTGATCTCTTTTGTTTTTGTAAGTGTTTTACGGCACTTACGACACAAAAGAGTTGGTTGTCAGTTTTGTTTCAGTAAGCGTTTAACGGCACTTGCAACACACAAAGCACTGGTAGTCTGAGGTTTAAAGCCTTGATGGGATATAAGGTCAAATCTACCAGCACGTAAGCAACAAATTTGTATATATATATAGCCAGAACTCAAACAATAACATAAGGAAAGACATATAAAGCTACAGTTATGTACACCCAAGAACAGACATGCACAGCAAGCGGATTTTGGTTTTTGGGTTGTCGGTTTTTTATTTTTTTATTTTTTCTTGGGGTTTTTTTATGTTGTTGTTTGGGGGGTTTCTCGTTTTGGTTTTTTTTTGGTTTTTGTTTGTTTGTTGTTTTTTGGGGGGAGGGAATTAGTAAGAGTTTTACATAAACAATGTAAGCCACACTCTGAGCAGAAACCACGCTAAGACACAAATAGTGCAAGCCGCACTGAGAGGTAAACTGCATGCAATTGTACTTGTAGCGCAAACCTTTCAGCGTTCAGCGAGTGAAACTGTAAAACGCACTAATACATTAAGCCACGCAGAAGGAAAAATTATTAATAACATTAATTTCGCAAGCCATGCAAAACAGTGACATTAGAACACACACACACACACAAAATAATAATCTCCATCAAGCCATGCAGCGGGTATAAATTAATCTCATCACAAATCGCAAGCTAGACGGAGAAATGAATGTGCTATGACACAGAGGAATCAGGCACTCGTCAATTTTTGGGACATATCAAGTTATTGGTGTCCTCTTTAAGTTGTTTATTCGTTTAACTTTTGATAGAAAAATAACCATCTATCTTTAATAAAAGTCGTCTAGATTTTTAACCTTTCAGAGAGTGAAATTGTAAAATGCACTAATTATACAGTTAGCCACGCAGAAGTAAAAATTATAAATGACATTAACTTCGCAAGCCATGGAAAATAGAGACATTAGAACACACGCACACACAAAAAATAATAATTTCGATCAAGCCAAGCAGCGGGTATAAATTAATCATCACAAATCGCAAGCCACGAAGAGAAAAAAATGTGTTATGACACAGAAGAACCAGGCGCTCATCAATTTTTGGGCATATGGGGTTATTGGTGTCCTCTTTGAGCTTGCTTATTTCTGTAACTTTTGATAGAAAAATACCCATCTATCTTGAATAGAAGTCATCAAGATGTTTGCTATTAAAAATAAAGGAGGTGGCGGTTGCCTGGAGTCAGAGGTAAAATTAGCGAGAAAATGGCCGTCATAGTTTGGTAATTTCCAAAGCTTGAGAACCTTTGGAGACTGCAAATGTACTTTTTTTCTGCCTTTGATCAACGTTTTTCCATAGAATCCATACTAAAATGTGTTGTCAAAAGATGTTGACCCCCTCCCCCCAAAAAGAAACCCATAAAAATTGCTCAATTGGCAGAAAAATGCTGATTTCTTCTATTCCATTATTATGACGTGTGCTTGATATCATCCCCGACGCAAAACAAATTCTAAACGCAAAATACAAAATACAACATCATGAGGAGAAGAAATTATAAAGACACGACGACGTGCAAGCAACGAACTCTCAGAGTAAAATGAGATCCAAGCTCGGGTATATAAAACACAAGAAACAGCAAGCCATGCAGGGGTGGGGGTGGGAGGGGGTGTGAACTATAAGCGCATGCATAGCAGTGGGGGCAGGCGGAGGGGGGGGGAGGGGAGGAGGGGAAGTGTGGGAGGGAAAAACTATAAGCACACAAGCACAGCAGCACAGTTCATGCGGACGGTTCTAGAACTCCCGAGAGGCAGCTAGATCTAGCTCCAGGCCTTACCTGCTGAGCTTTTCTTCTCTTCATCCCCATCCTCCACGGGGACTAAGATCTCTTCCTGGGGCTCTGATGGGCGGATAGTGAGCCAGGTGAGCAGGGGGAGCGGGGGGGGGTGGCTCACATTCAGTCACTCTGACACACACACAAATATGCACACACATGCACACAAGGGTGAGCGGGAGGGAGGGGGGTTCACATTCAGTCACTCCACTACATACCCATACAAACGCACACATGCACACAACATATGCAAAGTCATACCTAGGCACAAACAGACATAAGTACACACACAGAGTCATACCAACACACAAACAAAGTCATGATCTCACCAACACAGACACACACAGACACACACACACACACACACATACACACACACACACACACAATACACACACACACACACACACACTCAAGTAAGTACATTTGGAAAATTTAGGAGGTTAGGTGAGGACATCA